CCTGCCCGCCAGCCGGAACAGGACAGCGGCCGCAAGGTCGCTCAGGATGCTCCCGCATCAGGATCCAGGATACCAGTCACGAGCAGGATGAGGTTGTCTTCCGATATCCCAATTGATGCAGCGGCCTTTGGCCTCGACAAAGAAGACATCCAGAAGGTGGAACCGGACGCAGCCACCGACGGCGCTCCCTGTCGCGAGCACGCCCTGCTTGGCCTAGACTCCAGCTCCAGGCGGCCGGCCGCGCCGGTGCAAAAAGTGGAGACCACACGGGCGCCACGAGGGACGCCGGTCGAGACCGGCTGGCCTTGATTATGGACCGCTCACTTCAGTTAGTTCAATTGACCGAGGAGTGGGCCGCATGCGCTTTATCGTCTGGCACGTTTACGGGTAAACATCAAGATAGCGAGCTCGGGCCATTGAGAGCGCAGGCGGGTCTCACAGTGTGAGGTCTCGCAGTTCATTGATCTGCCCAACGGCGTGGAGGCGGCTGGTCACTGAGGCTCGCCGGCTGTCCCGGGAGTGGTGACGGCGGAGGGGGATGGAGCGTGAATCGAGGAGTCCCTCGTTCCGCCCGCGTGGGTCCGGCCCGTCCCACCGTCGTGTCACCGCGTGACGTCACCGCGCACTGATGTCAGCGGTGCAAGGTCACCGGGTCACCGGGTCAAGGTGACAAACTACGCGTGGACGACTGCACAGAGCCGGTGTCACCACGCGGTCGGTCGAAACTCAGATTAGCCATGCAAATTGAGTCATTGCTGGCGCGCACTTCGTCGACGTACGAGGCCACGCGCCGTCCGTCGAGCGCGCTCGCGGTGCTCTTCGGCTCGCTCATGCATGCATCTTGGCGGCCGCGTTATTCCGGCCGGGTCGTAAAGCCGGCACTGTCGAATTCCGAGGGGTCAGGCGCCTTCTGATATGCGGAGATGACATGAAGGATGGTGGCTGGCGGGGCGACCCGGGATCGGCGGCTCTGCTCCCGACGGCGCGCCGCTGGCCCGGTGGGCACACGCCGCTCTCTCTGGCCAGCTGGTGGCCCAGGCCGTCGCGGCCGATAACCCAAATACGTGAGGCGCGGATCTCACAGCTGTTGACCGTGAGCAAAGCTGGCCGCGCGGCTGCGGCGCCCGGCTCGGGAGCTCAGCTCCAGCTACAGCTTCAGCTTCGGCTTCTGTTTCCGGCTCAGTTCCAGCTTCCGCAGCGGGAAGCTTCTACTGCCCCCAATTTCCACCAGAGTAGAGCGACGTGAAACGGAAAGGCGCGCTTGGAGGTTGTCACAAAACTGCGCTGAAATTCAAATACATGGAAGGGGTTCTCGCCGTACATGCATTCGACAAATAGTTCTGTGCATTCGTTGCAAGGGGTATTTTTATGAAACACGCTGTACCTAGCATTACGTACAGCACATCAGAGGCAGGACCCTGGGCTACCCAAAGCACGCGGTAAGGAATCACACCATCTAACGCCGGACAGTATTAAAGGTTCGCTGAGTCTGTTAACAACATAGTGCTTTAAAACTGAGGCGACCGCATGCCCAGTCAGTTCCAACGGATTAGCGATTTCGCCATGTGCTTGCTGGCGACAAGTTGGCGCTGTTGGTGGCACTCGTGGCATATCTCCTTTGCTGAAACCCAAGGTGTCCCGCATCCTCCAAATTGTAACGTGTTTGGAGGAGTGAATTCTTGTCAACATAAGGTAATACACATTCACATGTCCTTCATGGCAATAGTGATGAAACTATATCAACGATCAAATAGGTAATTAGACGGCAAGCTGGGTGAAATTAAGCAAATATTATTGCAGGAAACATGTAGACCCTTTGATAATAGTGGGCTAGGATTCCTTTGGAAGAATGCCACAAAACCAGCCATTCAAATATAAGAGGTGAGTCATTCAGAAACGCTTGAAAAGGTTGTCTTTGAACTCAAGATCACACACGCGCGATCTATTTACGAAGACTGCAGTCATATTTTGGGCAGGCGTACTCGGCGACCTCGCGCATCTTTCCACATCCAGAGGCAAACTAAGTCAGTCCGACTGTGTCTGTTTAACCACGGATGACAGCTCTTCCTGAAATCAGCTGAGCGGGCCGAAGCGGTACATCAGCTGGCTGCCCGCAGAACAGGACAGCTGACCCCCGCAGAACAGGACAGCTGACCTCCCGCAGGACGCCGATCTGATGTGTTGTCGTCGGCCGCAGGACAGGACGCAGCCCAGATCAGGTCACCAGCCACTACGCGGATAAGGATTCTGGCTTGCGGGGGATCAGGATGTCCTCTGCGAGGCGGAGCCGGAGCTGCTCCCCGACGGAGAACGTGTCCGGGTGAGGCACAGCCGGTGGAGAGCGTGTCCGGGTGAGTGGCAGCCGGTGGAGAGCGTGTCCGGGTGAGTTCCGACCGGTGGAGAGTGTGTCCGGGTGAGTTTCGACCGATGGAGAGCGTGTTCGGGTGAGTGCCAGCCGGTGGAGAGAGTGTCCGGGTGAGTTCCGACCGGTGGAGAGCGTGTTCGGGCGAGGCCCAGCCGGTGGAGAGCGTGTTCGGGTGAGTTCCGACCGGTGGAGAGCGTGTTCGGGCGAGGCCCAGCCGGTGGAGAGCGTGTCCGGGTAAGTCTCACCAGGTGGAGAGCGTGCCCCGGTGAGTGCCAGCCGGTGACTGCCAAACAGTGCCCGGTCCTCTAACTAGGGACAATATGGACACGGACTAGGAGCGGGTCATAATCCCCGCTCCGTACGGTTTGTCGGAAAACCGCGGCATGTGGGGATACCGCACTCATCAGGCCCCGGGCAAGCGGGACGATGATAAGAGACGGGAGAATGAGTGCAGGGGCGTCAGGGCTGAGTGGTTAGCGGGCCGGACTCCCACGTGGGGGACCGGGTTCGAATCCCACTCGCGCTATGGCCTCTGAGGGACAATATGGCCAATGGAGTCGCAGGCGCTCCATGGAGCGGACGCGGCCACGTGTGTTCTCTCCCAAAGAAGAGACCGAAAGCAGGAGATAAACTTACTCAGACGCTGCACCGTGGTGCTACGTGTCTATCTGTCTCACATGGCGCTGCTCGGTGGTGGCTGGTGTGAAGCCAGGTATGGCGGATGGATGCACGAGCATTGCATGCACGAAAAATTGATAGAGTCATAGTCAGTAGAGAGTCCGTCTGGATGCACTCACCCTCAGGGGCGCAAGCCAGAACATTGGGAAGGGGGAGCACAGGACGGACAAACGGTCCCTAACAGCCCCCCCTCCCAAAAGGTGACAGCCCCCCAAACAGAATCACCGGATATGTCCTACTTGATTTCGAGTTGGCATGTTTTGCTTCGCTTTATTTTCACTTTTACTCCTTCTATAACTGGACCGGAGGCCAGAAACGACCGGAAGGTGCAATTCTTTTTTGTGAAGTCATTAAATTGAAGGGAGCGGGCGTTGAATATCTGCATGGAATAGCCCACTACCGCTATTCACTTCACAATTATTTAACAGACTCTCCTCTTTGTAAACCGACAGAACTCAGAACCTTGGAGTTGCCTGACTGACAGAAATATGTAGAGCTGCCTGTCCTATATATTATGGAAATACAGAACAACTAGCATAGAATATAGTTCTGTGTAAATAGCATAAAGCAGCCTGAATGACATAGAGGCACTAATCGACCCAGGAGGGCCCTAATCGGCGCAAAGGACCCTCTGGTGAGCATTTGGGGCCCAGCCCGAAGGGCCGGGGCCTTAATTATACTTTTGTTAAGCCCTTTGGGCCCTCCAATAGCGCCCTTAATTTTTGGTCCAGAGAGGCCCTTCGGGCCCATCGGACGGGCATTGCACGGTGTCCGGGGAAGGGGGCGAAGGACATTGCACGGTGTCCGGGGAAGGGTCGACGGACATTGCACGGTGTCCGGGGAAGGGGGCGACGAACATTGCCCTCTGTCCGTTGAAAGGGCAAGGGGCATTGTCCATTGCCCGACGACAGAGCGGCAAAGGATCGGAACGCGACCTCGCGCCAGCCGGCGGCCGCCGTGCTCCGTCCCTGACCCAGTGGGGCGCCAACGGTGACCTCGGCCGGACGCCGGCCGCCGCCCACCACCGGGATCACAGGATCACCGAGACACGCGCCCGGGTCAGAGGTCATGGCGTCACGCGCCGGAATCACGAGATACCCGCGCCGGGGACGCGATGGCGGGACGGTGACGTCACCCGAATCGTGAGATCAGGAGGTCGCGCGTCCGAGCGACAAGACCACCGCACCGAGGCGCGAGACGGCGAGACCATGGTGTGCGCATCTAGATCGTGGCGCCCTGCATCGGGATCGCCTGATCTTGACGGCCTGCAGTGCTTGAATCGTCTCCTCGCGGCCTTAAGCTCGGGAACACTATCTACGGTAAAGCGGCCGGATTTTGCCGGGCGGAGATTGGCTGGCGGATATCTTCACAAGCGAAGTGCACGAACGTGCCCCGAACTCGCGCGGCGCGTGGATCGAGCAGCTGCGAGCGAGCGGTCTCGCCCTCTTCCGTTGGAGCCGCGAAGAAATTAAGCAGAGGCCACAAGCCTTACCTCTAGACCGGTGAATACTACCAGGATAACGCAGAATGGGCCGGTGTAAACCACGAGAAGAAGGCAACAAATCTACTGGAACGACTGGCGGAACTTTCTGTCACTCCGACGGGAACACAACACGACCTTAGGTCATCTCTCCCCGACACAACGTCCACATCACACGCTACGTCTACCGTTGAGAACGGGCGGGTCACCCTCCAGCCCACACGCACGGGGAGGTGACGTCTACCATTGTGGACGGAAGGGGCCACCCTCCAGCCCACAAGCACGGGGAGGTGACGTCTACCATTGTGGACGGAAGGGGTCACCCTCCAGCCCACAAGCACGGGAAGGTGACGCCTACCGTCGTGGACGAAAGGGGTTACCCTCCGGCCGACCAACACGGAAAGTTCCACCGGCTGTCGGGGACGGAGCGGCGCGCGGGGTCACCGCGGGCCGCACTGAGCGGCGGGTCACACTCACCGCATCGTTTGCAGGTCGCCCTGGCCACCTTACGCATGGTGCGCCGGTTGTGTGGCTCGGGCGTCGCCAGCGCGCGGAAGCGGCGCGGCCCACCGTCCGGCTTCACGAACACAATGTACCGGACGCCCGGCCGCAGGCGTGCGCGGGCCACGCAGGCGGCGGCGGCGGCCTGCCGGCGGCGGGCCGCCACCGCCGGCCGCTGAAACCGCAGGCGCAGCGGCCCTGTCGCCAGCGTACCCTTCACCACCTTCTCCACGTCCACTGTCACATGGTAGAGGCCGGCGCGGCCGGCGCCCCGGGAGCGCACCGTCCCAGTAAACACGACGGGCGCCAGGCGGGCCTTGGCCACTGCGCTCCGCACGTCGTTGCGGACGTCGCAGGCCCGGCAGAGCGCGCCGGCGAGCAGCAGCAGCAGCAGCAGCAGCGGCAGCAGCGGCGGCGGCCGCGGCACTCGGGATCGCATGGTGGGCGACTACGCGGCGGGCATGAGAGGCGGGCTCCCGGCTGCACCCTCGCGAGCTCGTCTCACTCCTGGACCGTCCGCAGTCGCTCTGGCTCGAGCCGGCCGCCCGCCAGGCGCTTACTCCCAGCGGCGGGGCGCATGCGCGCTGGTCAGCGTAGTATCTCTGGCTGCGGCGCGTCCGGTTATCTTCAGCAGTCGTCGGCGGAGGCTGGGCCGGCGGCGGCGAGCCAACGGCGGTCGCCGCCACCGCCGAGCGACGCCGGGACGCGGAGCGACGACCGAATCGGGGCTGACGCGGGTGACCGCTCGCACACACCACGTGCCGCGCTGGACGCGTCGCCCCAGCTTTGCCAAATGGGTGCTTTGTCCCCCAAACGATCGCTCGATAAGGGCTAGTCTTTTACATCTTCCGCGTTGCTAGCGCCTTGCCCGTTAGAGTCGTCGTCCCACAAGTCGGGTGTCTTATTTCTCCCGCGGTCTCCGGGCTGAGCGGCGCCCAAGGAGACAGGTAATGGCCGTCACGCTCGCCACTCAGTCAGCTCTAAGGTCAAGTGGCACCGTAGGAGGGGGCGAAGTCCGTGACGCTATCAGGCCGCCGCATTCCGGAAGCAGACCGTCTGTTAAGGCCGTCGGAAAACCTCGACAGCTCTAGACTGACGCCAGCTGAGCCTGATCTGGGCTTACTCGGACGTACGCGGGCTGAACTCACCGTCAGGTGAGCGTGGCGATTGGCAGTGGCGGTGCGGTCGTGGCAACTTGGTAGTGAGATACTAGAAGGCCGAATACTTACCACATTTTTTCAGCTTCATAACCAGTGCACGAAATTACATACGATATCTTTTCCTCAGTGTGCAGCACTTTAACGACAGGGAAGAGAACAACCACCCCCCTCCGTTCGTCTCCTTTTGTATGCACTCTTGCCCTTGTCGATAAGACAGGAGACGGGGGCCGTTTCGGTCCGAGTGGCCATTTATTTGGCTCAAGTAACCTACTCAACGAACAACAGACACATGTTTCAGCTGTTTATTTTTTCGTGCTCAAAGAAGTGACTGCACCAGCGAGAGGTAAGTGGGAAGCTGTGGCACGGATAAAAGTGGGGGATAAAAACCAAGTAAATGCGGTACCTAAGCCATGGTGCGGTGATTTCGCACGACACATCTGATTTTACATAAAGTTCTTGTATATGTGTTTTGTGCAGCTAACTTCTTTGATGTTTCACAATGATGATATTTAGTTTGGCTTTGGTGGCCATTTAAATGTATTCTATGCCAGGCCAGCCAAGGAAAACGAATTTTTGCGAGAAAATAAATTTTATTCGAGCACTTGTGGGCACTTATAACATCATCACAATGAGCCCTTGAGCGACAGCTGCCAAAAAGCCATCTACCGGCGGTGCCATGAGCGTGACCATGTTAGCTGGGCAGCTTTCACTTAAATGGTTCCGATCGATCGATGAAGGAATTTTTGGCCATTCAGTAAACCAAAAGTTCTTCCGTCACTCAACACTCCACGCCGACTCATTCTCAGCCAGTATGATATGAATCAGCAGGAAAACGATGACGCTATTTGGGCTCTTTGGCTGCCAATCGCGAGATAGCCAGAACACACATTGATGAAAAGCTGACAGCGAAATAGTGGCCCAAAGGCGTCGAACGCTCGAAAAAGTGAGTGGGTCGAGGACATTCTGAAAGTCAGCTCTTTCCAAGCGTCACGAGTTAACGTGTTCAGTTTTCACAGGAAGTGGACAGGCGTCTCATCCTGCTTCCCCCCCCCCCCCCCTAAGCCTATCGAATGTTGGGTAATGCGTCCGAATAAGACGCAGTCCTCTACTACTGCCACCCGTGCTGCTACCCCGCTGCTACCCGTGCTGCTACCCCACTGCTACCCGCGGGGCCACACATCTCTGTGGCACGTCACAGAGGCGTCAATATGCACAGGGATTAGTGGCCAGGGAGGTCTGGCCCGCTCGGTGCACAAGTACGAAGTGCACGGTGCAAAGAAAGTACAGACCCAGGCCAACCCAACCTGACGATAAAAAGCCCACACCTCTGGTGGCTCGCGTTTTTCCCACTTTTCAGGCACGATTTGTTTTTATAAACGTAGTTGAGGAACTTCACAGAGTGCTCCCAGTCACGAAGAATACAATCTGCATCTTCGGGTCATCTCTAAGGACGCTTAATTTTCTAACTCGCTTTCTGGCCACAGGGTGACTCCGAGCAGTAGCATCTTAAATGATAAGCGTGTTTGACATTGTCGATAGTAGTGTTCCACTTCGGAATCACGATAACTATCGGAAGACGCCCTCAGAGCCCGGCGGCGTCGCCAGGGGAGCTACGAAACGTGTGATGACGTCACCATCGTGACGTCACCGCCGAACTGGTTTAGGCTTGGCCAGTCCGAGATGCACACGACACTGTAGTCGCTCACCGGGGTTAAAACAAAGCAGTCAAAATATGAGCGGCGTTCCATGACGACCTAACTCACGTCGCTGGCACGCCGGGCATGGGCGGACTTCGCCCGATGATCAGCACAAGCTTCGACTGTAGGGAACTCGGTGCGGGAGCCATACCGCAGCCAGCCTCAAACCATCCCATCGGTCAGACTTCTGTCATCGCTGCCGGCTGCAGAATGCAAATACGGCAGAGCGCCAAGGGACGAACGTGCGGAGCCGGGAGACAGGGCAACATAATGTGATCGCCAGCAGTGCCGAACCTCTCCCAGACCCGACAGCGGGCCGGATCTCCTGGTCGGTTCCGGGTACGACAGTGACGCCTGCTCGGCACCGACTGACCGGATCGGGAAGCGACACGGTCATGTCTCAGGGACCGGGGAGCGAGGCGGTCATGTCCCAGGGACCGGGGAGCGAGGCGGTCGTGTTCCAGGGACCGGGGAGCGAAAAGGTCATGTCCCAGGGACCGGGGAGCGACACGGTCATGTCACAGGGACCGGGGAACGAGGCGGTCATGTCCCAGCGACCGGGGAGCGAGGCGGCCATGTCCCAGGGACCGGGGATCATGGCGGTCGTGTCCCAGGGACCAGGGAGTGACATGGTCATGTCCCAGGGATCGCGGAGCGAGGCGGTTATTTCCCAGAGATCAGGGAGCGACATGTTCATATCCCAGGGATCGGGGGCGACACAGTCATGTCCCAAGAATCGGGGAACGACATGTTCATATCCCAGGGATCGGGGAGCGACGCGATCATGGCCCAGCAATCGCAGAGGGTAGTGGTATCTCACCGATCAATGACGGAGATGGTAACATCTTAGGGATCGAGAGGGAGAGGCTAGGCAATGTCAGCCACCACAAACAGAGGGACTGCTACAACTGACTTGTCCAATGCGCGAGCTACAGGTGCATCCGCAGGAAAATACGCGGACAAGCCCTCACGTGTATGTGCCAGTACTACCAGTATCCATGGTGCATACTAATGGACACAGGAATGCCCATCACATCTCCGGTAGGAGAAGTCAAGTCTCGGCGGCTGACCTTTCAACAAGTCTAGCAAGCGGCGGCCAGCGATGGGGGCGGTCAGACAGGGGTGCAGACTGGCTAGTACTAGTGCATACCCCGAGTAGGATATGCTACGCCACAGGGAGAGACAGCGGCTGCCTCTAATCAATTTTGCTCAAGTTGCTGACAGCGGGGTACAGCAAGGTTACCACGAGGAGGAGGATACCGCAGACCAGACAGAGTCCACGACGACGAGGCGTTTCTAGGCCACGACTGTTTAGCCAGGGAGTAACCATGCACGCGAAAAACATGCGTTTCGCTTGAAAAGACCAAACGTGCGAATGGGTGACGTTCCCCGTAGGATGCGGAGAAGTGTTATTAATGGAACATTTCGGCCCGTAAGGGCGAAATTTGACTGAACTGTGATGCTAGATCGGCATGTCCAGCTTAAGCTGTAATTTCTACTCTCCAAAATCGTGCTCAAGGTCTCGTAAATCATGTTCAAATGGCCTGAGGTTTTCTCATATTTGCGGGTTGAACTCAAGCTTATCACTTTTTTAAATGATTATTTCGCTTACACTTATGTAACTACCTCAATAAACCGCCGTTAGCCAGCTTTGTACCAGGATCGATATAAAAAACGCTAATGATATGCTATAGAAAATGCCTTCGAGCTGCTGAAGAAGGATGGACTTCTCCGCATCCTACTGAGGGATGTGAGTGATGTCCACAGCTGCGCCCCAGCTTTGCGGGGCCGAAAGAAGCAAAAGAATGCTGGCTGATATCCTGCTTTACACGATGCTGTTGGGCATTTTGATTACATTACAGGTGACATATGGCCCAATCCTTCACGTCACTGGATCCACGGAGCAGGCCCCGAGGAAGAACCAGTGCTTCAAACGTGCACTGAATGCGTCCTGGTAGTACTCCGCACTGGTCTCGTGGATCCTATGCAAGATTGCTTGAGTTTAACTGCATGCAGATAAAGTCCCCCACACATGTCTTCATGGATCAACTTTTCAGAGTCCAGACTAATCCAGCCGTTGAGTATTAAATTCAACCTGTTCACAAATTGGCCTTCGTGATGAATCTCAGATTAGGTCCACCCAATCCATCACAGCAAGGGTATTTCCCAGAATAATCCGCATCATGGCGTCGCATGTCGGTGTAGTTAATAGTTCGACATTCAGCGTGTCATTTCGCTCCAAACCATTTGGGATGACCAATTTTTAATAAAATTCAGTGCTCGTCGACATGTATTGTATCTTTTTCCCACACAAGTATGGTCTATAACACCTATTAACGGCAAAAATCATCTACACACCAAGGCAGACTTTCAAAAGCAGCAAAAACGAAAACTAATCCATGAAGTCGACATGTTAAATGTATCGATACGTTCATGTGTTTTGCGGCGTTTGCCCGCACTGTCCAGCCCAATCCACCTATTTATTAGAAATGAATCGGTTTATCCAATCCATGAATAACTCTTAGTCGGGCTATCCAAAGCGTGAAGAGCTTGTAATCTTTTCACTCAGCCCATGAAGGGCTTTCAGTCGGTTCATCCAGTACGTGAAGTGCTCTCATTCCCATTCAAGATGTTTGGACGCATTCAACTGGCGTAGATGGTATCACCTTTTTCTTTCTCAAGCCCTTCGCTCAGCAAATTATTTTGCGCTCGTGAAGTAAGATCATTATAACATGACTCAAGCAACAAAAACCCAAAATTACCGCAGATGAATGAAGCAGTACTTCAAATATTCTTCATTCTTATTTTAAGGTAGTGTTTAGTTCGGAGAAAAAACGCGCAGCTGTAACCAGTTGCTGGGTCACATAAGAGGTCACAAGAGAGGTAACAGGTCACAGGACAAGAAATCAGACTGATCATGCCAGAAACAGCCCAATTAGATTTTCGCTCGCGGCGTATTCTATTGGTTTTCACATCGAATTAGACCTAAATTGATTGAAACAGACATCCATAATGCCACCGAATTGCGCATGACATGATCTGGGCATAACAGAACAATAAATGAGCGAGGAAGAAGAAAAAGCCAAGAATGCGCGCCGGCATGTCAAACATCATGTGCGTAGACGAATTTGAGATGAAGCGGTAGGCTAAATGCCCTGAAATATGTTATCGGGCGACATTTAGATCAGTTGACCAAGACGTCCTTCAAAAGACAAAAGCTAATTGGGGTTCTTAGGTTGTAGTGGTACCCTGTTACTCTACATGTCTAAGTTAGTGTGTTGGAAAGTCAGCGCACGCCGCTGTAAGCACCTGCTATATGCTCATCTAGCGCTGAGCCAGCACCCATTTCCTCGAGAGACAGGACATTCCCTTCATGAAGGTGGCTTACTCCCACAACAATCAGCACCACCACCACCATCACCAGCTTGCTCATTGTTTCGATGGGGACAATTTTGAAGCAGTACGTCCTAGACCAAGCCCTCACAACCACAATTCACGCCACGAGGGGTAGAGAGAATCGCGATTCTGAAACCGGGTCACTCCCTCTCCCACTATCCAGACAGACCACTCGGTGCGCGGCGGGGGTGCTCCGGGTCAGCCCCCTCCCCGTCCGGGACGCCGCCCGGACCAGCTCGCGCTCCCAATGACGCCGCCACCGGGCCAGCGTTTCATAACCGTCTCGAGTGACCTCTGTTGTGCCCGAGGCGCCGACCCGCCCGGGCCACCCTCAGCTGCCGTTCGGGCTGGAAAGTTTGGACTGCCTCCGCTCGCGACAGTCTCGCTCGCAGCGCCGTCGATAATCCCAGGGCTGCCGTGCAGAGGCGGCGCCAGGACGCCGGCCATGGGGGGCCAGCGGCCAGCGGCGGCGTGGCACATGACGTTACGTCAACCGCTGACCTGAGGTCGGGCCTGGGTGAGGTCTGGGTCTGAGTCGGGTCGCGGGTTTGTCCCGTCGGGTGCCGGAGTCGCCCCCGCGGGCTCGGCTGGCGTCGCTCCTGGCAGCCGTGCAGTTCACGGGCAAGCCAGCCGCCGGGCGAGAGTCGGGGTGGCGACGTCGTCGACGTTGACGTCTGTCGGCCGGCCGACAGACGGACCTCCACCCCTCCCTCCCCCCCAACGGCGAGGTCACATCGCCCGGTCGTGTCACCTCCTGTCTGGGATCCGTGTCAGGTCACGTCTGAGAGCCGTGTCAGGTCTTCATTGGAAGTGCTGGAAGGTCTTGTCGGGGGGTGTTTGGTCCCGTCTGGAATACTGTCAGGTGTTGCCTCAAAAACATGCGGAACTTTCCAGAAAATGTTGAGGATGGAGATGGAGCCTTTGGAGTCCATTCCTGCTATGCAGCGCCAGGCAGTTATAGGCACCTGACTTTTTTGCAATTGTGTTGTGCATGTATATCGCACCTCAAACCCTGTGTGGACGAAAGCGCTAATTTCAGAAGGCTGCAGGTCACCAAGGGCCACGTGACACCAGGTCAAGAGGCCATGTCAACAAAATCAAGAATGATTCTGTTGGTTGTTTGTTTCGTGTTTGCTGACGCATGGATTTTTACATTAAATGTGGCCATTTACAAAGTTATGCGCTTTTCATGATGCCACTGCCATGAGATGTCACAAAATTGCCTGACGATTCTGCAATGTTGATTGGATTGAGCTAAAAGTTTTATGACGGTCTTTTCGTCCGCAGCTGTTTTGAACGCCAGCCTTCGTCGAAATCTAAGAGATGAAGGTGTCAAATCGCTATTTCTCCGACCAACTTGCAAGGTGCACGATCCAGATATGCGATTTCAACGAGGGGATAGTGCAAAAGCCGAAGAAAATGCACAACGCGACTAGTTCATGACATACGTTGCGCACCCGCAAGCTGTTATCAGTCACATGGTTGCATGGTACATGATGACACGACTACCCGCGTATGCAGAATGAGAAGCGAGTTTGGGCCGCGTTTCTGAAAATTGCGGGTGCATGTATGCCAGCCTGTACAAGTTAGCGCAGTTCGTTTCCAAAAAGGGGGCTCGAATTGTTGCATATACGGATACACTGAATGACACCATCGTGGCTTAATATTCTGTCGGAGACTTTTCGATAACGCTTAACTGTACTGCCGTAGGGTCGCTAAATTCGAAAAGCAGCGCAGACTTAATGCAATATTTGTCAACAAACATCCTATATGTGTAATGGTGTTTAGTACATGTAGTAATATGAAACCATCCAGAGTTAAAGTACTTCGTAATAATCACGCAACAACCGACTGACACCATACTAACTGATGCAATGTATATATATATATATATATATATATATATATATATATAACTCACTAACAATAACTCACGCAATAACCCATTTTCCACACGCTGTGCACCATTTGCACGTGCAAACCGTCATGTTTGATTTGTGCCCTCACACACATTACTGAGAGACATTAAAATCTGGGCCGACATTGAACGCTTTCACGCAAAATTTAACTGAAACAAATACCCAGATCGTTACTTTGCGCAGAAGTTAACGGGTATCACACATGTATGCTCGCCCTGCTCGGGTGAATGTATCTGCTGGTTTATTATACTGAGTCCCAGTGAAGCCGCATCCCAAGTGTACTAGAAGAAGAAATATCCCAGTAATGTAAACGGTGATGACGATTACCTGCACGCTATGCGCCTGAACAAGCCCTCAGCATCGGCATAGCGGTGTTTTATAGGCGTAAAAATAAGCACATGCTTCACGAAATGCGTGGAACAAAGACCTCACAAGCACCGCAAGACCTATCCAGCTTTTTCACCTCTTTTGCAACGCACAACAAATTGTAGGACAGTGAACAGGAGGTGACGGTTGGTTCGGCAGATCCAGAGCCGGCAGTGGACGGACCTACTGAATCAGCTCCCTTGCCACATCAGATGGATTGGGTAAGACAACGCCTAGAAGCTACGCTGTTCGTGCTGTGGTGATTCCCACGGACCGACAACAACCCACAACCCCTTGCGTGTTGATCGGCTCGCCTGTGTTTGTGCTGTCCCGCGCGGACGGGTCCGTCTGTGTCCGTGTCGTCCCGCGCAAACGTGTCCACCTGTGTCCGTGCCGCCCCGGGCATACGGGCCCGTCTGTGTCCGTGTCGTCCCGGACATACGGGTCCGTCTGTGTCCGTGTCGTCCCGGGAAGACTACCCGCCTGTGTCCGTGAAGTCCCAGGCAGACGGGCCACCTGTGTCCGTGCCGTCCCGAGCCGACGTGTCCGCCCGTGTCTGTGCCGTCCCAGGCAGACGGGCCACCTGTGTCCGGGCTCTCCCAGGTAGACGGGCGGCATACCGGCGCGTCCCGCATCGCGCCCCACCTGAACAAGAGCCGACCCAGCAGTGAGTCAGCGTCGGCTGACTTCACCTGCACCACCGCGCCGGTCACTTTTCTCTTCCGCAGGGCGCAGCCCCCGCGAAGCCGGCCATCAAAGGAAAGCCGTCAGCCAACTGCTGCCGCCCCCGGCGCTGGTTCAAGGCGCGGCTTGCACGTGCCGGCCCTTTTTTCGGGCCGCCGGGGCTGCTCCGTCGCGGTGTGTATTAAACACGTGCTGCGGTCGATGCATTGTGGTGTAGTTCTGGTCGCGGTCTTATGGATCGTCGCTGCAGACTGCTTTTGTTTCAGCTATGATGCAACTCCCGGCGCGTGAGCAGTGGGCGTAAGTGGCGCGTCGGTGTCAAATACATTGCGCGACCCACGGACGCTCTTCGCGTGGTTTCGAAGCGTCGCATGAGAGCCGTGCTAAGAAGCTTTCCACCTGCTTTAAAACGTCGTCTAGATCTAATCTAAGTATAATGCTATTGCGCTGTTGGCTGATTCATAGCTTGATACTTCTGTGCGGTGGGACCGCGTTGAATTTTAAAAAAATGAGTAACTAACTTAATTCCTACAAAAATCTGCATTTTAATGCTCGGCCCTGACCGGTGCGTCTCGTGCCGAGCCACATTTCAGCAGCAGCTGGTAATAGTGTACATCAAATTATCATATCCGCGTCCCAACGCGTATACCAACTGCCTTTCTTACTCCACTTATTGACTGTCATTCTTCTGGAGCCGTACCCAGAGATGCCCTCCAGCTGCAGCCTGGCAGGTGGAGCGGACGACGCTGTCCATGGAGGACAGCAGGTAAGCCTTCTCTCGCCAGAGGACAGAAAACTTCCGCTCTTCAGTCCACCGTTGGATTACGTGAACAGCAGAGGGCGCATGAGGCGTCAAATCCCAGGGAATGCATCAGTGCAGCCCCGCCTTTCAAGACAGGAACGTGGGCCGCGCATCTCCAGTGGCGTATATCCGAAGCTACAAACGGCCGCCACCCCGTCGCACAACATCGGCACATAAAATATCGGACTGTAGTGCGCACTGGAGCCAACCAGGCCCTGGACTGGTGACGAGTTGAGAAAAAGTGCAAGCGCCCGAGGACCGTGACCTTACATATCCAAAGTACAGAGTGGTTCCCGACACGACTCTCCAGTGGCGCTTTGCCCTGATGGAAAGTCTCGTTGCCGCCCACGAACGCGCCAGCGGCCGTCTTTGCGCCATGTCGCATCATGGCCCCGAAGGCGCACCGCTCTGGCTCGTGGTGAGTGGAGTCGGTGCCTCCCCGCCGAGGCTGGGCACTCTGCGGTTTCAGTTTGCCGGTTGCCATGGTGGGCAGAGCTCTCAGCCGGCCTGGGCAGATCATGTTATAGTCATGTCATGTTATGGTTATCCCATGTCATATTATGTCATGTCATAATCATGTCATAGTCCTATCATGTTATGGTTATCCCATGCCATATTATGTAATGTCATAGTCATGTCATAGTCATGTCATAGTCATACCATAGTCGTGCCATAGTCATGCCATGTTAATGGCACGTCATGTCATATTCCTCTGATGTCATGGTCACCCGTCATGCCACGTCATGTTATAGTTATTCCAAAGTTATTCCATAGTCATGTCATGTCAATGCCAATGTCATGTCATGTCATAGTCATGGCCATATCAATGTCATGACATGGCATGGTCATGCACGCCATTATCTGTACGCCGCAATGTACCGCCGAACCATGCGAAAGTATAAGAGGACTGGATGTCGCAGCACTCCCACACAGCCGCGGCTGGCATACACTACTCTTTCTTGGTACTGCCTGCGTGTTTCATCACCGGATATGCCGCAGTGGCACCCTCGGCAGTCACGGAGCAGCGCCCGACGATTTTCACCACGGATAAAAAAGCGCGAAATGCCTTCACACCACTGAAGAAGCGCGCCACTTCCGGCACAGAAGCACAGCCCATTAAGGCCAGACGGGGTGCAAAGCAATGCAGAGAAGCGTGAATGGATATTCTTTCTGGATACGTGCAAATGCTCTGTTTCCGCCCCACTCATGACCGAAGTCCATCGTGTGACCAACTCGCCGGGTGTTTCTTTCAGTTGTGTATGCCTG